CTTTGTGGCTACAAAGGCGTTGTTTCCCTTCTTATATTCAAACAGCATTACACGCCAAATGTGTTTCTCGTCATGTGCCATCACTATGAGGGATTAAATATACTAAACTTTGCACATTATACAGGCTACACTAACGTAACGTTTAGACGGTTCGTTTAACTATTATACGTGATGAACGTTTTTTGGGGGATGGTTAATGAAAGTTTTCCAAAATGCGACATTAATTTCTTGACGACCTAATATGTCCATCTGCTTGCGAACCTACGTACTTAGATATGTGTACCTGCTCCGAACACCCATACTCAAATATATATGTATCTGCTCCAAACCCCCCATACTCAGATATGTATATCTGCTACAAACCCCCATACTCTGATAGGTCTATATGTTCGCGGATACTCATACACAGATATGTTTATCTGCATACAATCCCCATACTCAGATATGTCTATCTGCTCCGAACCCCATATTCAGATATATCTATTTGCTTCAGACCCCCATACTCAGGTATGTCTATCTGCTCCAGACCCCATACTCAGATATGTCTATCTGCTCCGAACCCCCATACTCAGATATATCTATTTGCTCCAGACCCCATACTAATATATGTCTATCTGCTCCGAACCCCATACTCAGATATATCTATCTGCTCCGAACCCCCATATTCAGATATACCTATTTGTTTCAGACCTCCGTACCTAGATATGTTTTATCTGCTCCAAACCCCCATACTCAGGTATGTCTATTTGCTCCAAATCCCCATACCCAGATTTCTCTATCTGAGAAAGCTGAGCCTACGATGTATAAAATTGGGACTGAAATAAATGTGTAAGTTGTAGAAATTTTCAAACACAACTTAATTTTTTTAATCCAACACAATATAATTATTTTCTCTTTTTGGTATTTAGCTACAATATGTAAACTCAGCCTTCACTCCTAAAGGGTAAAAATACATACTAACACTTATGGGTCCCAAACCACAGGCTGAGATCCACGGCTGTGGTTCTATAAACAGATAAAAGAAAATACACATATAGTCTACTCTAAAATGAACTGCCGGTATCATTTCTTGTTTTTGTTTTTTTCTGGTAATATTTAATCAAATTTATTTTTAAATCGAACCAGCGGTGTAAAACTTTACAAGTAGCAAAATAACGACATAACAGAACAACTTCTGTGTTCACTTTTGAGTTAGAATTTTTTGGAGGAGAGGGTATTAACATAAGACTTTAAGAAAGTAACGATATGGGCATTAAACAAATAAACTACAACAATAAAATGGAAGCTAAGGAAATATCAAGAACAGGTTTTATACACGCACCTTTCAAAATTCTCTGGTCGAAAGGGAAATCTCGAAATACTTTGAAATCCATCGCTGTTGTCACAGAGAATTCTAGCCAAAGTCGTTTTTCTTATTTCTCTCAGCTGGTCTGTAATAATATAGGATACACTAACCGATCATCATGAAACATGCAATATAAAAACGTCATTACATTCCAAGTCATAGCATTTTCTGTTACAACACGTCAAGTTACAACGTTTTTGCCACAACACTCCTACTTATAAAGCCTTCTTTCACAACACACCCAGTTAGAATATCTTCTGTTACAACACGCCTAGTTAGAACGTCTTCTGTCAAAACATGGCTAGTTCGAATATCTTCTGCCACAACATGCCTATTTAGAATGTCTTTTATCATAATTAATTAACACGTCTAGTTAGAGCATCTCTCATAACACGCTTAGTTTGAACGTCTTCTGTCAAAACACGCCTAGTTAGAATGTCTTCTGTCATAACACACCTAGTTAAAACGTTTTCTGCCACAACACGTCTAATTAAAACGTTTTCTGTAACGACACGCCTAGTTTGAATGTCTTCTGTTACAACACGCCTAGTTAGAACGTCTTCTGTCAAAACATGGCTAGTTTGAATATCTTCTGTCATAACATGCCTATTTAGAATGTCTTTTATCATAATTGATTAACACTCCTATTTAGAGCATTTTCTCTCATAAGTGCTTATTTAGAATGCATTCTGTCAAAATACTCCTAATGTGAATGCCTTCTGTCACAGCACGCCTAGTTCGAACGTTTTCTCTCATAACACGCCTAGTTAGAACGTATTCTGTCAAAACTCGCCGAATTAGTGTCTTCTGTTACAGCACGACTAGTGTGAATGTCTTCTGTCACAGCACGCCAAAAAAGAACGTCTTCTGTCATAACTCGCCTAGTTATAGTGTTTCCTATCACAACACGACTAGTTTGAATGTCTTCTGTCCAAGCACGTCTGGTTAGAATGTCTTCTGTCAAAATACTTCTTGTGTGAATGTCTTCTGTCACAACACGACTAGTTAGAACGTCTTCTGTCATAACACGCCTATTTAGAACGTTTTCTGTCGCAACACGCCTAATTTTCATGTCTTCTGTCACAACACGCCTAGTTTGAACTTTCGTCAGAACACGCCTAGTTTGAACTTTCGTCAGAACACGCCTAGTTAGAACGTTTTTCCGGTGTAATATTCCTTGTCATAACGTCTTATTATACAATATGCCAAGTCATAATGTCTTTTAACACAGTACTGTTGCGTATCTGCTTGTTTGTTAATTTCCGGTAAAAATTCCTTCCGAGGAACTTCATCGATATAAGTACTTTCTTGATTAAACCAGTATATTCTTTCTTGATACAAACTTTTAGTACACAGTAATTCCACAGTCAGTACGTTTCTCGTCACTTTAAACTTAACAACTTTTATAATACATGCTGTAAATAACAGCGATTCACAATCTCGATAACAAAACACACACTAGCTCGAAACAGAATCGTAAATTACCCGAACCTCACCGTGACTACTGTTCACTTTATCACACATTCATTCATCATCGTCCACTGGCTTTTCTCGCCAGGCTTATATACTAACAATTCGAGAAACTCAGTCACGCAGAAACTCAGTCGTAACACTGCCCCTTCCTCATATTGTTCATACCAAACAATAGCTACTTACACTCCAGCATAGTTTCACTAGAGGAAAATATTGTCTTGTTAATCTTTCGATATTCTTTGGAGAGGTTACTGCTTAAAGGAGGATATAAGGTGTAGATGTATAAAATTTAGATTTTTAGAAAGCATTTGACAAGGTATAACATTCACACACTTTACTTACGATGCCTACTGTTCACTTGACTCAATTATCTATCTCTTCAATCTATCTGCTGATCTATCTATATCTCTTCAATCGTGCTGGTTTTTCTCACTAGGCTTACATACTATAAAATAAGGCGCCTCAAACAAACTAGAGTTGCCAGGAAAATTCATAATCCTTCCAAAAATTTCAGTGCGCATGCTCCCAGTGTCGCGTGACTTCCGCTGTCATAACACTGCCCCTTCCTTAGCATTGTTCATCCTGAACAACAGCCACTTACATTAAACCAATAGATAATTAATCATCACTTAATTAAATCTATAGAATTTACAAACACAAAATTAAAATACAACAAAGTCTCTTAATTTTTACTAGGACGTTTCTTCTTTCGTACTGGTCTCCATCTCATTGGCTTCTGCTTTACGTGGGACTCGTCTGCACCATCAGGAAATGTTCCATTATCGGTAGCAGTCACATCAGTGGTAGTAACTTCATTAACGGCTTCACTGTTTTCCCTTTTCTAAAACTCGAGTATAGTTTCTTC